AGACTTTACCTACCTACCTACCTATTCTTCATCTTCGATGATATGGATTCACAAACTGCCTTCTGTGCACCGTTCTCGACATATCTGTCGAATCCGTCAAGGATTACAATTTCTGATTTTGCAAAGGGTCTTTTGAATATTGAACGGTGTTTCTTGACCACCAGTGCCAAGGGTTGTATTTTATCACTCTCGCCTAGGAGGACTGGAAAGTATTTATGACTGAAATTCTCCTGGGCAAACTTTCTAATCGCCTCTTCAGTCATCTGAAACGAAATGCAAATCGCTAAATAATCTTGAATCTAACATTCAACACAGACCATTTTAACTTAAAAAGACTGTGCTATTTAATTTATTGCTTGCAAAGTTGGTTATATTAAAGTCATTAATATTTATTTCAATTCGTAACAAAGTTGTCGTGATTATTTTGTTGTACTGAGGCCCTAGAATTTAATGAGTGCCTCCACGTCCCGCTCATAGAAACGGCGCCAATGGTAATTAAATGGGTAATGCTGTAAAAACGCTCGCCTGTGTTCCCACAGCGATTCTCGTTCTCCCAAACGTAAACCTTTGCTCGTGTTTTGATAAAACCAAGGAAGTCTTTTCTGTTTTGTAAATGTTTCCCGATGTTTGTAGATCTCATACACAACTTGTTCATTTATTTAAAAAAGATGTAATGTTATACCCCAGCAGTACAGGGTACAAGGTACAGTGGAGGACAGAGATAATTTTGAAAATTTATGCTCTTTTCCCGACCAACCACGCAGCATGCGTGCTGAAACTAGTTGCAGTATATGAGGCCTTGTACATTCGTATCGCTATAGTTGAGCTAATTGCTAAAATACTTCTAAAATACTTCTAAAATAAGTCACATCACGCAAGAACAACAAACTACATTTGGTATTTTATGACTGAAGCCTTAAAATTCCTTTGTCCATCCAAAATGAAAACATATAACGTTTCAATGGTGGCAAAAAGCCTACAAGCGAATTCCAAAGTTCCGGCGCATGTTTGGTTTTCAGAATTTAATGAAATGTAATGAAATATTTAGCCCTATATTGCACTGGAAATTGAAATAAAAAAACATCTTTCGGGGCTTTCTTGGTTATCAAGTCGAGATCGCCCCTCGATGGCAACTCTAGGTGTATTGTCAAAAAAAACCGCTTTTATAACATTATCTACATGTCTGATGCAGTAGGATGGTTAAGAACACCAAGAGATTGTGTAAGAAATCATACCGTGAAATTGGGGCAAAGAACTGCTTGAGTTGAACTTCCTTTGACAGGTTTACTCAAGATAAGGTTAGACAACTAATTCACTCCTTGCTTACCAACGTAATGAAGCGAACCGTTTCCTAGCTCTAGAAATATATTCCTGTTCCCACATCCGGTATACGAGATCTTTCATTTTTGAAATGACGCATGCTAGTTAAAGGAAAGAAAAGAAAAACCAGCTCGCTTGGACGAGACTGAAATAGACTTCGACCATGACGTTTAAATACAAAGCCTTAGAAATCCGCTTTTGTCAGCATTCAAGAGAAAAGGGAGTTTTGTTTTTCGCCCCATGACATCAATGATAGTGCCCTTTACGAAACCAAAAATACACATTCTTGGACTGTGAGTAAATTAAAACAATCGGAGTTAAAGCTCAACTTGCAAACTTTAACTTGCGCAGCCATTATCTATTTTTTGAGACTATGATTGCAATTTTAGTAATGTTACGATCGCGGATCAAAAAGTTATTTTACTATGTGACCATCTGCTCCTGAAATAAAAAATAGAATATGTACAATTGTCATTCTTGGATTTGCAGGAAAATACAAGAACGTCACACGTCAAAGATATGCAAATCTTAATAAATTACATGATATTGTTTAAAGAAGTTTAAACAAAGAATAACGTGCCAGAAAACATCAGAATTTTAACATCGACATAACGTAAAGTACTATTCTTGGGGGAAGGGTAGGAAAGGGATATTGTGCGTAGCAGCCCATCTTTAAGCCTATCTTAGATCACGATTTGCGACGTTCCGTGTTCTATATATCTGCGCGCCTCCCGCCACCTTTAAATCAAGTCTCGCGATGATCGAACTCAAAGGTAAGGCTATCTTCAGTTAAAGATAACGCTACCGAAAAGAGTCTCCAAAATGTTTTTGAGAACTTGTCAATGTTTGGGTGTGTTCTTGCGGAAAATTTTTTAAACAAAATAAACTCGTTTATTCTTGATAGAAATGAAGATCTATTTACACTTCTGACACTCAGCAACCACATGTTTATGTATATCCTCGTTCACTATCATCATGAATGAAATCAGCAGTTCCCTCACATAAAAACATCTCAGTGCATGGGATTTTGACCGCGGTAAAACCTTCTCGCTCAATTGCTGCGCTTTCGATCGCCAACTACAAGGTAAAAGGAAAGGTTAAGGCTGCATACGAGTCAAGTGGCGCACCAGGCCGGCGCTTATCTCCGGTTTCTGTAGCATGAAGTGACTAGGGGTATTGCTACTCCGCCTTATACGGGATGCTAGTGCATCGCAGGGTTAACCCCAGCATTAAGTTCGCCGTTACCAATTTATACACCTGGGTGGAGAGAGGCACTGTGAGAGTCAAGTGTCTTGCCCAAGAAAACAATACAATATCCCCAGGGCTCGAACTGGGACCGCTGTAATCGGAGACGAGCGAACTAACCAGGACGCCACCACGCCTCCAGATAGACAACTACACAGGATTTTCTATTTTGCTGAGAAGTCATGCGATGAAGTTGGACGATCTTAATTGTTCTAAAAAAAAGAATTTTTTCGCACCATTACTGGGTGACAGTATGCGTCGATCCGAGTCAGGGAAATGTTGCGACACGATAATCGAGGTATTCAAAATGTCACTGAGCTGTTTTGCACTATCAGTTTAAAATTCAAATTTTTCTATTGAAAAACATTTCTCGAGAAGAACTGCTTAGCCCCAAAGGATCTTGGCAAGAATTTTATTTCTTCATTTCTTTACCCTCAACATTCTTGCCTTCAACATTTTTGCCCCGCATTTTAATCATAACTTTCATATTATTTACCATTCGACCGAGATTTCTCTTGTCTCAAACATACAATTGGGGCAGCGATCTTATTTTAAAAAAGTACAATCAGTGACAATAAATAAATAAGTAAAATGATAACTTTATTTAACTGCTAATGCACATTTACTACTTCACACCATTTTTTTGGAAACTTTAAAGAGCTATAATCGTATATGTAACAAAATTCTCGATCGCGATTATTTGTCACGTAATCGGCGCGCGATCATGTGGGTGTCCAATTACAGGTATCCAATTTGAACTTTTTGTAATTGGATACGTGTAATTGGATACCCACGTGATTCGCTCGTCAATAGATATTTGTAATTCCAAAATTACTCCCTATATTGTACTCTACTCGGTCCAATTACTATTACTAATTGCTGCTTGATATATTGACGCATGTGAAATTATTCCTACCGCCCTGATACTGTAATGAAAGCTTTGACGACAATTAAAATATTTCATTGAGCGACCAAAAAGTAAAGGAGGAAGGAGCATTAATTAAGAAAACTTTATCCTTCAAATATGACGTGACATTTTGAATTGGCTATGTCTGTAACCAGCGTTTTTCACTCCTCCAAAGTCGTCTCTAGTTCCTTCCATTGTTCATCTGGTAACTCTGTTGGGACAAATTCACAAAAAAAAAAGACTTTTAAATAGTGCCAAGTCAAAATCTGGCTTTGAAGCCATCACTAGTGATCTTTAGCAAGCTACCCTTCCATTCTGTGCCGGCTTAAAAACCCTGGAAGGGAAGACAAAGGATCAGTAGTGGAGAAGCTGTAACCTGTCATGAGGCAGTCACGAATGAGGAGGGAAGGGACAGGGGGAACCAATACACATGATGGCCGAATAATAATAATAGTACTAAAGACCCATAAAACTTCCCCTTTTAAACGCCCCCTCCCCCTCCCCCCCCCACCGCCGTGTCATTGGAGCGTGCAAGGAAGGACTTATCTTCACTCTGGATTCAATGAATGAAACTCTCCACTGACTCAACAGAGGAAGCGTCAAATTAATACTAGTTTATTGGAGTTTCATGGCGACATCAAACCTAAAAAGAAACATATAGGGTGGATCAGACTAGGGTAGATAAAGTTCAAGTTCATACCACTTAGTACTTTAAAGACAATTCCATATCCATGAATGTCTTCCTTTGTGAAAGATGACAGATCAAGCTTGGGAGAATTCTTGGAGAAAGGAAGGGCGATGCTTTTTAGAAATTTGCAGTCTTCTGCAGTCAATAGCTCATCAAGAAACAGCTCCTTTTGGTCTGTGGTCAATACCCGTTCAAACTGTTGAAAGAGATGACTTTATTTTAAACATGTGTGGCTTGATGAATGATTTTAAAATTTGCATTACAAAACAAGCATTCCACAATCTTTTAAGATCTTCCAACTTCACTTACCCATTGTAGATATTTGTTCACTCGCGCTTTACGTCGTTCTAAAGTCCTTTCCGCAAGCAGCACCTCTTTCTTAATGATGTCCAGTTTAACAATATCTTCGGCTGTCAAAGAATCTAGTCAACAAGATAATAACACTTAGACCACTAACAGTGCCTAGATGTCTTCATTAAAAGCACTGAACATTTGCAAGAGAGGAAACTTATGTCCAGGACTGAACGCAAGTATTGTTTAATTAGTACCTCGCATTTGGAAGGTTTATTTGACATTTTCATATTACTTCATATTTGACAAAACTGTGTGTGTTTTGGTGACTTTTTATCATTGAGGACACTTTGTGATGCCTATCATAAGGAATTTGAATCTCATTAGCGTTCAGTCCTGGACTGGACATATCTGGGAGAGGATGAAGAATGAGGAAGATAATCCCCCCTATGGGCCCCATTCCCAAGGCAATCCGCCTCGAGTTATTTTCACTCGTGGCACCCTTTTCTTTCACGAAAAATGTTATCAACTGCGATGTGTAAATGTTTTTGTGGAGGAAGAAAATACCGGTAAGACGCTCGGGTTGTCCACGTGGGTAATTGTTTTTTTTACAGGATTGACTATTTCTAGACCATCCTGGAATTTCTTAACTTGGATGGGATCTAATTACCCTTCATGCTCTCTTCCCGTTAGCAACGAGTTCGACAAAGAAACGCGAGAGAAAGAACAAAGAAATGAGACTTACAACCTAACAACATTGTTATACAAAATTATATCTAGTTGTTTTTGGTGGTATCATGTTCGAGTTCAGCAACGTAAGAAGCCACTAAGAAGGTTATGAATCCTGGTTGTGACGAGTTTCAGCCGACTGCGTTTTGTTCACGTTTTATATGTAAAGAGCAAGCCCTTAGATAAAAAACAAACTGATTGTCTCACAGCAGCAGGGACGCTCTGGCTTAGCCTA